AGAGGTGACAGAGGAGGATACATTCCTCATGTGTTACACCGACGACATTGGAGATTTGTGCATTTTCATTTCGGAGACTGACCCTTTCTGCGTCCAGGCTAGCTTGTACCCTGGTCTGGTCCCTAACTCCATCTATCTTACGGAATCTTTCTTTGGTGTCTACCATCTCCCCACCAAAAGCCTTCGTCCTTTTGAAGAGAAACCATTTCTAGGAAAGGGTGAGGTTCAACCCATCCTTCCTCACTGGCTTCCTCCTCTTTCTATCTAGCTCTCTCATCTCATCTTCTGTGTGGTGTCTAAAAGATATAACTATTATATCTCATGATGCTCTTGTTGTTAGTTAATTAGTTTTACTATTTTCGTATTAACTAGATTGCTTCATCATGCATGCTTGGAGATGCTACCATTGAGTTAGATCATCATCCTGACCTCGAATCATCATTTCTCTCTCTCTCTCTCTCTGTCTGAATCCCTACATACATTTCTTTATTACCAGAGGTCCAAGTTAATGAGATTAGATTGTAGCCGTAAAAGGTACTTTTGAATCTACTGATGACATTACAAAGATTCATCAAGTTTGCAAGTCATATATAATTTGATTGCAAGGAACAAAGAGTTAGCTAGGGGCATTGCATTTTACACATGAGAAAACATTGTACAGAACCTGTGACAAAAGCAACTTTATTTTTTCTAAGATAAAAGTGCCCAAGATCAAACGTCCACCAGTATGCGTAAAACCAAAGTACTAACCAAACAGGTTTTTACTATATAAGACTAACGATATGACTCCCACCAATGTATAATAAATCCATATAAATAGCTACACTAGAGGTGTGAAACAAGTGGAAGTTAAAAAAACAGAGATCCACCATTACACTTTGTCATGCAAAAAAAGAAAAAAAGAGGGAGAGAGAGAGAGATCCACCATTACACTTTGTCATACAAAAAAAAAAAAGAGAGAGAGAGAGATCCACCATTACATAAACTGATATTAGAGTAGAGAAGAGAAAACAAAATAAAGATGCAGACATCGTTGTTTAGTTGAAAAGAGCAGCTATCGTGTCTCATCCGAAGACACACTCAATACCAAAATCCAAACTAGTGTCTACTTTTTGAGGAGGAAAAAAGTAAGGTTGGCTCAAGAGAGTTGGATTGACAGTTGAAGTGTTGGTAGGCTCAGAGGGATCGATTATTCCAATCTCATCATAATCGAAGAAATAGACATCGTTAGGTTCAAGGCCAGGGTAGGAGCTCGCGGAGAGACAGAAAGGCTCAGCTTTTGATATGAAAAAGTTGAGATCTCCTATGTCTTTTGTGAAAAATGCATTGCCATCTTGGTCTATCCTGAATACCATTAAACCTTTCGTTTTTATGTTCCTTGTATCATCTTTGGTGCTATGCACATACCACTTGACCAGAAACGCTTCGCCACCTGATGTCTCCACCAAGTGATGGGTACAGAAAGTGGAATCAGTGATATCAGCTATCGTCTTTGTGAAGGGAAAGTCTTGAAAATGCAACTTCTGCAGCTTGCAGTGCTTGTGCTTGTGGAGATCCCAAGACCCTGTGTGGTGGCCTCCAGAAGCGAGCATGGTGAACATTTGATTTCTCTTTGAAAACATGAGACGAGAATTGAAGAACATGGGGTCAGTGATTCTGATGTTGGTCCAGTTGGAGCCATGAACAGGTCTGCATAAGCTCAGTTGAGGTCCTGAGAACTTGACCGCCACAATACAATCATCATCCTCAGGAGAAGAAGAGGACATGGACACGTTAGTAACCACTTGGGTCTGGCAACCAGGCAAAGTTACAAGAGGAGGCATTGAGATATGTTTTGGGTTTGGGTCCAATGTGTACAGATTTAGATCATCTTGGAGAGACAAGACTCCGTTCTTTAATGTAGCGACCCACCCATGGGCTGCTCCGATTATTGATCTCCTTTCTTCAAACAACTCACAAGGCACTTTCTTTTTTGACTGCATAAAGTTGGAGTAACATAGGTTGAAAAAGCCAAGAGTTCCCGACTCCTCGTCAGGGCCAAAGATGTGGTAAGGAGACGTGTATCTCACGGAAGAAGAGAATGATCGACGTATCTGATTAGGAAATGGCAAAACAATTAATATTTAGAGAGACAGTAACTTACAAATGCATCTTTCCAAAGCGAACGTTTCAAGAGGCCACAACTGAGAATGAAAGACATGTTCTTAGGCCTTTGTTCGCCAAAGACAATACAAGGATACCAAACACCACTTCAAGTTAACAAACCAAAACTAAATTTGGATCAAACACCAATAAAAAAAAAAAAAAAACTCCTCTTTTTTTTCTTTAATTCTCTCTCTTACTCTCTAAAACATGTAGTTGTTTCTCTCACGGACAGAACTCAATTTTCCTCGGACAAAACAAACCGAAACCTAGACGGATCAAACTTTCTACGCTATACACATAGAGTGAAGAGAGGAAAGAGAGAGGCCTACCAGCGAATGACCGAGAGAATACTTCCTCAGAATCTGTCCTATCATCCTCTTCCTTTTCAGTGATTGCACACCAACTGCTCGACTCTTTTACTCACAGACTTGCTTCTTTTTTTCTTTCTCGTCAACCATCTTCAGACTGATTCTTCTCTTTTGATTTTATAGAAAAGGTCGGTTAATAGCATTCGGTTTCGTCCGACTTTTTCAATCAAACCCGGTCCAGTTTCCGGTTTTGTTTATTTCATTTTGGGTATTTTTAACCAGTTTTGGATTAAATTTGTCTTTAGTGAAAATAAGGCAGTGTTACAATTTCTCTTAACCCCAAAGGAAATGGCTATGGAAATATCAACCAGAATACTTTAAATTAGTCATCCACTTCCAGTATTCAAGAGTTGCTTCGTATTCTATTTCAATCAATCAGGGAAACAAATTTAATACAAGGATACCAAACACTAAAGACAATAATATGTCTTTGACAAAAAAAAGACAATAATATGTATACAGAGGAAACAGCGCTTTTTTATTTACCATTTTCTCACTTTTACATTAAATTGTAAAACTTCTAAATTCCCGATCGACTTCCTTTTTCTCCAATTCCATCTATCTTTTTACACTAATCTTCTATTTTCTTCTAAAAGAAAAGTAATATATTTATGGAATTAACGTTTGCTTGTTTAGGATTTATAGCACTGAAAATCTTTGATATTATATAGATTCTCATCAATGACAATAGTGTTACATTTTCATTCTTCCCTCAGTTTACTCATAATATTTTATCATTTTGTGTTCGAATATATGTTTCTTTTTCTATTACTCATAAACTGTCAAACTTCTTAAATTCTCACCTTCCCTTTTCTCCTATTCCATCCTTTTCCTTTTACACTAATCTTCATCTTTTTTTTTCTTACTAAAAAATACTACATTGTTTCATATTATAAGTAGTTACTTTGCAGAGTTGTATAACGGTTGATTGTTTTTTAAATCATGTTAGATACATATTCTTTTGCTTTCTGATGCATGATTTTGGAAGATCAATTAGAACATGAAGATTATCACTAATGAAAATGGTAAGTCAAAATAAGGTTCATGAAGATTATCATTTTTTGAGAGTATATATTAATAGAGTTTTTCATTTCACTGAGATTCTTGGGTTGGTTCAAAATCATACAAGATCAAATTTCTACGAGAAAGGGTTCCATCATGGATCAAGATGAAAAGATACCTACCTCAGTCGCAATCATCTAATAATCAAGAACTTGTGTGTTCTCAGATTGTGAAGGGTTTGGGAGAGACATTGGTTGGAGGATATCCAGGACGAGCAATGAGCTTCATCACCAAGAAAACAAACCTCAAGTCACTAAGCGTGAGAAACAAGAAATAGATAGTATTTTCATGTTAATTCCAGTTGTATAAAACTGATAGCTTTTTCGGTTGTGCAGGTGATCAGTTACCCAAGTAAGAGGATAGGACTGTACTCTAAACCCTCGATCATATTCAAACAATGAGGATCTTGAGGGCTTCGCAGGTGCTCGAATTTAGGACAGGTTCGATTTTGTACTTCCTCTGTGTTTGTCTTTCTTCTTGACAACTCAAGAAGCTGAAATGGTTGTTATGAGTGCAGTGTGTATGTGGATGAAGCAGAACTTGTGAGCCTAACATTTGGCGGTGGCGTGACGACTGCCGTTGGAAATAGTAGCCGGCGGCTTCTATATTTTGAAAAACATCAACTTCATCATAACCAAACTCCGCCCACGTGTTATATCGTATCTAATACCGTATCCCAAGAGATATAACTAGCCTACCTAACTAATTAACTAAATTAATCTAATAGTATTAAATTGATTCACTTGATTCACTACGTACATAGGACTCAACTTGATTCACTAAAGATTATTTTGATTACTGCATACTGATTAAACAATTATGTCTTCTCGTTCATGACTAATCCCTTTCTTTTCAAGTCAAACTTATCTTCTATGTTTCTTTCTTTACTTTTAGTTTTATTGGATCTTTGACTTTAGCCTCCTTGCAAACTAAAAAAATACCTTTCACATTTTGGAATAACAACTGTTTGCTCTTTATGCCATTGATAATTTTACTTTTTCTTCTTCAGGCTGCTGTCTAAAATTTCCTAAATTCATTTTCCATATACAGCTGAAATGGCCAAGAATATTCTTTAACAAGTGTGTACATAACTTTTGGAACGTTTGATTTGTGTTTCTCAATTCAGTTTTCCAAATTACTATTGAAATGAAATTTCATTGAAACATATTGTTTGAAAGTTCTAACCAAGTCATAATAATTTGCTATGCATGCATGTGGTAGAGTCTCACTTTTGACTTCTAATTAAAAGTAAGAAAAACAAGCTCAAAAGACAAATAGTGATTCCACCAATTCATTAATTAGTCACCTTTTATTAACATTCTAAAATAGGAACTTTCCTTTTCTCTATTTATTATATCAACTATATATATACATCATACTTCATGCTTTCATATCAACCTTAAGTTAAGAATTTTATTAATTCATCTCTCTCTTTCTCTTATTCATTTCTGTGAATCTGATATATCAAAAGCTTTTCATGGCCGTACGTTTAGTGACCATCTGGCTCATCATAGTCTTAGCCATCATCTTCGTGGCCTCACCAGTTTCTTCAAGAAAGCTGTTGGAGATGAAGAAACAAGAGAACTTGACGGTGAGAGAGGAAAAAGAGAGTCACATGCCTCACGTGACCAAAACAACCACCCTAACTGCTCTGCCAAAGGGCAAAATCCCAAACTCGTCGCCGAGCAAAAAGGGTCATGCCGCCGTCTCCACCGTCAAACTCCGATCTCGACATCTTTCCACCGTTGACAGGTTTCTTCAATCCGTTCCCAGTCCCGGTGTTGGCCATTGATAGGCTCCGTTAATTAGAATCCTACTTCATTGTTATTTTTTTCATTTTAGTACATTCTTTTTTTAGGTATTATTATACGAAATTTCCACGAGGTAGTCCTTTCGAAAATTTCATGAGACTTTACAAATTGTTTTGTTATATTTTCTTTTTAAAAGTACATTTACACAGGGTTCCAAAATTTTTTCTTCTGTATATTAGTCAAAAGTATACATTGCTTTCAATATCACACGGGGTTTTAATATCCCAGCTTGTAATTAATTAATGAATCTTATTTCACTTTTATTCATGTTATTACAAGAGCCTCTTACTGGCTACGATTAGCGATTCTTATTTAGTCGACATACTTAATTAGTAAGTGGTGATTCAGTTACAACTTACGAATAATACAATGAGAAATCTCAACTTACAAAAATATCAACATCTCATGGTTCTTATAACATTGTTTAATACCGTACTACTATCATTGAAAAAAAAAAAAAAATCCTCCTAACAACAATCACCTAAGTAATGTAAAAAACGACTATATAACTTAGTAGTCAGAAATATTTGTATCTAGTATTTATACATCTTGCCTGGAGCTCCAAACCATCTCGGGAAACTGAATCATTTGTTTCTTTTCCAAATTGTACCAAAATTACTAGACCGTACTTACGGTTCTCTTGTCTAAACCAGCGTTTCTAAATTAAACCAAACTAAGGCTACTGCATCTTTTCCTAACCGGTTGATATCATTTCCTATGAAAGGGCTTAGGGGTGGGCGTTCGGGTACCCGTTCGGGTTCGGGTCGGGTATTTCGGGTTTTCGGGTATTTCGGTAATTGGGGTATAGACCCCGTTTGGGTATTTTTACATATCGGGTCGGGTTCGGATATTTTTAGTTCGTGTTCGGTTATTTCGGGTCGGGTTCGGATATTTAGATTTTGAAAAAAAATTTCAAATTCTTTATTACTTAAGTTTCATGTATTTAAAATTTAACTATTAACTTAACTGTTTTTAAAATGTTTAATAAGTTAGACGATTAATAAGTTTGAAAATAAATTATTGAAAATAAAAATCAGTATTTTGGTTGTTATTTTTGAATTTTGGATGCAAATTTTGTTTAAAATAGGAAATAAGAAGCTTAATATGCATTATAAATGAGTAACAAATTAATTTTTTTACAATTATATGTATATTATCTGATCTTAAATTATATATAATATTAATATAAATATTTTTAATAAAATGAGACAAATAAACTAGGAATAAATATGTATATATACATATGTTTGGTTATCTTCGGATACCCGTTCGGGTTCGGGTAATACCCGTTCGGGTTCGGATATCCAAACTCTCCTAACTCAATACCCGTTCGGGTATTTTGCTACTTCAGTTCGAATTTCGGTTCGGATATTTCGGGTCGGGTTCGGGTACGAGTTCGGGTATCGGATAAAGTGCCCACCCCTAAAAGGGCTACTGTAGTTTGGATTACAACTTTAAGTTAGCCATATGAACTTTCTCAATAAAAAAAAATCTGATCTGAACGAAAAAAAGCACTTGTTTGCAAGAGAAGATACATATAAAAGACAGATATATATTCCTTATGTTTCATAGGAAAAAACACTTTAGCTTTTTCCTTCTATTTTTTTTGAAACTTTACTTACAGGAGCTTCTCTCTTGTTGTTGTTCGATTTAGTACAACAACATACAGTACAGTTAAAAGAGCTTCTTAATATGAGATGACGAAGGAGCTTCTTATATATATTCTTTTATAAGTTGATCTGTAAATGCCTTTTCCTCTTTATGGTGTCTTCTCTTGCTTGACGATTCCTAGTTTCTTCTTTCTCAAGTTTTCTTAATATTCTCTCGTACATGTCCCTTCTCTCTCCCATCCCAAGATATCTTTTATTCTTCATTTTTGTATAAATATCATCCATCTATACCTCAGAGGGAACTTCTTCGCAAGCTTTCTATCTTTTCCTCTACCATATCCCCAAGCCTACCTGACAAGTCTCTTTTTCAAAAGCTTTAACTTCTTACACAAGGAACAGGAAAATAACATGACTCACCGTCTAGCTCCTCGATGTTTCCACATAATGCTTCTGTGTCTTCTTATCAGCTCATGTAATCTCTCTGCGTCTGATAAAACATTATGAATAAACTTCTCTGTTTTCTTTTCTTGCACATTCTCAAAAGTCAAAACCGAATGTGCAAGAACTGACCTGTTTTTCTTTCTGATGCTTGGTTTGGTTTCAGCACTTCTTGTTATAGCTCAGGGAGAACCAGGTGTTATACCAGTTTTTAATCCTACATCTTCCCGTGGCAGTACCACCACACCAACCATAACTCAACCATCACCGCCAACAGGTGGTGGCTATCCACCACTTGATGGTACTACACCAACAAGTGGTGGTGGTGGTGGTGGCAGTGGCGAGTGGTGTATAGCAAAAGCAAATGCTTCACCAACATCATTACGGGTGGCTTTGGATTACGCATGTGGGTATGGAGGAGCGGATTGTGGCCAGATCCAACAAGGTGCAAGCTGTTACGAGCCAAACACTATTCGTGACCATGCTTCCTTTGCTTTCAATAGTTATTACCAGAAGCATCCTGGTTCAGACAGGTGCAACTTTGGAGGTGCAGCACAACTTACCAGCACAGATCCAAGTAAAGGAAGCTGTCGCTTCTCAGCATCATCAGGAACAGTTAGGTATGCTACTCTTTCCATTGATTAACTTCTTAACCTGTCAGAGACGAAACATGAGAAAGATAATACTGATTTTTCTATGCTAAATGCAGCACAAGCCCGCCAAGTACACCAGATTTTAACTCCCCACCTTCTACTTCTACTACGTTCCCACCGCCAATAACAACTTCAACTACAGGCATACCAGGTTCTGGACCACCTTACGGCTTGGTAGAGCCAACAGGGCTTCCGAGTTCAGCAACTCATGCGTCACATAGCTTCCTCTCACTACTTACATCAATTGGGATACTAGTACCACTGCTCAGGGGAAGTTATCTTTGAACAGACAAGAGTTTGGATCATCCTCTGCAAATTACAGGCGTGTGTTTTATATATACCATCACGATATTATGGAGGACAAGAAATCAGCCTTGATCAACAAGAATATTTTTAATCCAGGACCTTCATATGTTCTATTTTGCTATAGTTCATAATGGGGAGTATATTTATTTATTCGGAGATATTACAAAATCAAAGGGCTTAGATTATGCACATGATTGTAGACACATTATGCATGATGTATCTCTCCACAGGTTTAGAGAATAAAAAATACTTAGGAGCGGTTTCAAATATATACAAATGGAAAGGGAAAAGATAAGTTGAAAGCTAATCCAATGGTTACATACCTGCAAGAATTCCACAATACCTGCAGGCTGCAGCGTATCAAAACAGTTGCTACTTGCTAGCATTAACAATAAGTCAATAACCTTAACAAATACTTTTCCAGTTTCTGCAAGAAATGAAGAAAGGAAAAACATGACCTCAAAAACATTATATTCTCTATAATGCTTAACCTTATGCTCATAAGGTGATACGGCGCCACAACCACCAAGAGTAATGCAGTGAATGGCATTTCAAGTTCACCTATAAAATCAATTCCGGAAAAAGTAGTTCATTGTTTCCAGGGAACGTTCCTTCTTCCGCAGGCCGTAATCTCTGGGAGTGTAAGAACACCCCCAATAAAGGGTTCTCATATTGGATATCTAAAAAATACATATATGTATGTATATATAAATATTGATATTTGATTTTGGAGTCTACAACTTTACGGAAAACTCAATCGAAAATATCTCTACTAATTTATTTTTCTGTTGGATTTCTCGTAAAGTTGAAGATCCCATAATTAAATATTAATATTTATGTAAACATATGGATGTATTTTCAGATACACGAAGTGAAACTCTCCATTGGGAATGCTCTAATGACTCGCAGCTCCAATGGTCTGAGATTAATTGATTAAGCTTCAACGATTTTTTTCTTTAATTCTCTATTTAAATACTTCACTAAGTCTGATTTTGACATTTATTATCGAATATATTTAAACTATTTATTTATCTTTTAACATTATCTCCATTAATTCTTGTTCGATTAATGAAATCATTATTTAGTTTTCCTTAACACACACATAAGCTATGTATACTGATTTAATTATTCAATATTTTCTTTTCTACCTTTTACCATGCCACATAATTAATAATATTTTCATGTAAAAAAAAAGAACTTTAAAATAAAGCCCTTGAGTTCTAAGAAAGGGTTTAAACCCAAAAAAACAATATCAGACTAAGAAAAAATATGAAATCATAATTTGTTGCCGAGAAAAATATGGAAATTGGAAAGTTAAGAAGTTTAAAGTTACCTCATAATTTACAGTTACAAACTCTAACAATGATCATGATATTGAGAGCACCAAGAGAAAAAAGATTATCTACCACCAATTAAAAGAGGAAAAAAACTAAAAGAGGAAGAAAAAAAAGAGAGAATAAAAAAAGAAATATCGGACTTTTGGGAATTCAAAAGAGAATAAAAAATAATATCAGAAGACAAAAAAAATTGCTGAGATAGATTGATTGGGCTTCAACAAATTTTTTCTTTAACTCTCAAATTAAAAATAACTAGATTTGGATCTGCGTGACCGCACATATATTAATTTTTTATTTTTATTTTTTTTGTGCTAAATATGTTTTGTAAAAGACTTATCGTATTACATTGAATATTTTTTTATGTGTATTAACAATTTATTATATCATAAATATTTGGTATCATATAAACAAATCTAACATGTACACGATATATTGAAAATATTTTTTAATTAAAGATACATCAGATATTGAGAAGTAAGAGTTAGTATGATATATACAAAAATAATAAATTAGTTATAACATTTCTCAGAAAAAAACTGATGTTCAAATTCTATAAAAATTCTAATATATAAAAATTTTGTATTGAAATTTGTAAAATAATAAAATGAAAGTATCAATTAAATGTAAATGACTACAAATTACTTATGGATTTAATTTTGAACGAAAGGTTTGTTGTTTCATCCGCACATCCGCTTAGGTGTTTGTTTTTATTTTTTTATAAGTGATAATATTATTTTTAAATTAACCTGTTTAAATATTTTTTTTAAAAGACATTTTAAACACACAATTTTATAGTTTATATTGAATAATTTTATTTATCTTGTAAACCATCAATTGTATCATCCTTATTTTTAAAATATGACTCATATATTTGCACAAATATATTTTTTATTTTATGGATCAAAATTTATGATGATGTATAACTAAATTCTTATATATACTATTTAAAATATATGGTCCTATATATTTCTACTTTTAACATTTATTATACTGAATTTGCCTTGGACTATTATTTATATGAAAATATACATAACATAATATATTTATATTAATCTATGTATTATATAAATGTTTTTTTGTGACTTTAATTTTAATTATTACTTATAAATAATAAAAATATAATTATACATCTTTGAAAACAATATAGTTCATTAACTATTTAAAGATAGGTAGATAATTAATAAGAAAAAAAATCCTAGAGGTAGGTTAATTAATATGGAATTACTTATTATGTATATGGAATTAGTAAAATAATTACCATATAATTTATAGATCTAATTACGAAATTTTATATGAAATTAATTATTTTCATTAATTATTCTTGCCATGATTTTTTAGTTAGAATTTGATTTTAGAAATGCATTAATCAACGAGAAACACACAAAGAATCCTATAAAGTAGGCTAATTAATAATTTTAGCGAAATACCATTGTAAATAATTAGGAAAACTCAGGGGTATTTTCTATTTTAATAATAAAGAAGATGTTAAGTCTGATTTTTTACACTTCTTAAAACTTATGATTTTGACACTAATTCTTGAAAGCATTTAAACTATTTATTTCTTATCTTTTATTGTCTTCATTTATTCTTGGTTAATTTGTTGAATTTATAAAATCTTTATGTTATTTTCCTTAGTACACACATAACATTGGTTAATTATTCAATATTTTATTTTTGACCTTTTAACATTCCATCAATGGATTTTTGATGTCAAAAAATAACTTTAAACAAAGCCCTTTAGTTCTAAGAAATGGTTTAAACACAAGAACATAAGAAAAAATTAGTAAAAAAAACTATTCAATTGACTAAGAAAACATAAAAATCATAATTTGTTGCGGAGAAAATCAGAGAAAACCAGAAAGTAAAGAGGTCTAAAGTTACCTGATAATTTTTAACTACAAACACCAACAATGATCACGATGCATAGAACACCAAGAGAAAATAGATTTTCTACCATCAACCAAAAGAGGAAGAAAAAGAAAGAGAAAAATAAAGAAAAATTACCAGATTTTTGTAGGGCTTTAATTGACAGTAAATAATAATATCATAAGACAATAACATTGTGTAGATTGATTGATTGATTGATTGATTGGGTTTACAAGATGTTTTTTCTTTTAACTCTCTATTTAAATCCATTGTTGAGTCTGATTTTTTATACTTTTTAAACCTATGATTTGACACTTATTCTCGAATGTATTTAAACTATTTATCTACTATTTTCTCTTGTCTCCACTTATTCACAGTTATTTTGTTGGATTTATGAAATCATTATTTAATTACCTTATCAGATGTTTAAGGTTATGTATATTTGTTTAATTATTCAACAATTTATTTTTATCTGTTAACCTTCCACATCGTTAGGCGACACTTTTATATAAAAACACTTTAGAACAAAGCCATTTAGTTATAAGAAAGGGTCCAAACTCAAACACATAAGCAGATTTTAGTAGAAAAACTATTCAATTGACTAAGAAATGTGGAGAAATATGTAAATTGGAAAGCTAAGAGATTAGTTACCTGGTAATTTGTAGTTACAAACATCAACAATGATCACAGATAAGGAGAGCACCAAAAAGAAGAATAAGAACAACAAGAAATGTGAGAAGAATAAAGAAAAATTAGACTTTTGTTGGGAGTTTAATAGAGAAGAAACAATAATATCAGAAGACAAAACATAGGTTAAGCTTGATTGAACGAACTTCTTTTCTATTTAAATACATTGTTGAATTGATTTTTAACAATTTAAAAAACTTATGATTTTGACAATTCTGAATGTATTTAAACTATCTATTTACTATAATTTATCATCTCCGCTTATTATCCATTAATGTGTTAAATATTATGAAACAATTATTTAATTTTTCTTATCACACACATAAGAATATAAAATTTTATTTAATTATTCAACACTTGTTTTTTCTATCTTTTAGTATTCCATATCATGAATAGCCTTTTGATGTAAAAACAACATTTCACACCATCTTCACTCAATTTCACATAATCATATAACATATATTCAATTTCTTACAATAGTTTCTTAGAAAAAAATAACATTTTATCCATATATTTATATTTCATCTTGTATATGTTTCATTTTACTACCATATAATATATTTAGAAAATATAAACAAAAATTTATAAAAGTAAATGAAGCAAAACAACAATTGATTAAAATAACTAAGAGTTAAGTATGTTTGGATTATATGTAGAAAGTTGTTTGATGTGTCTTTTTTATGTTCAACATGTGTCCAAATCAACAAATCAAATCTTGATTTATAAAACACAAAATGATGATATAAATCAAACAATTAAATTAATTTTCTACAAATAAATGATTTGAAATAAAACAGGGTTAAATAAAAAAAATATCAACAATGTTAGGTACCAATAATATACTATCATATAATTGATTTTGGCTCTACTTTGTGAGTTTTAACTAGCTGAAAGTATTAAGATCAAACAATCAACTTAATAGTTTAAAATTTTTCAAACGCCCTTGTTGGAATTTATTCAACAGTTGAAAAATTACTAAGTATCTTCATTGTAAGTGGTCTAACATAAGTATACAATTTTCAACAAATATACTCCATTATATCCTATATATATTCCACAATGGTTGTGTGTGATTAGCCAACAAGCTATTAAACTTTGATTGAAAAACCATTAGCATAATCGTTATGCTTATTGTTATATAATTAATACTTATTATACAAACATTTAGATAGTGTTATTCAATAGTTAATTTAAAATTAATTCTACAGATTTTATAATCCTTGGTTATTCGATGATTGATTATAACTTTTTTATTAAAATCTATTGATACTGGTTATTATATTTAAAATATTTCAACCATTTTTTAAAAAAAATCTC